TTAGCCAGGCATGGTGGCACACACCTGTAGTCCTATCTACTCAGGAGGCTGAGGCGAGAGGATTGCTTGAGCCCAGGAGTTCAAGACTGCAGTGAGCTATTGAGCCACTGCACTCCAGCCTGGTTGACAGAGTGAGACCCTGTCTCCAAAAAAAAAAAAAAAAGTGAGCCTCTTAGCCTCACCAGACCTCCAGAGTTCAGTGAGGCCCAGATGAGATAATAAAGCAAAAGGGCTTTGCAAGCTGCAGAGCTTAAGGAGATGGGAGAGACCTCTGATCTCCCCACAGTGTAGGCTGTCACTCCTGTTTACTGAGCTCTTCCCAATTCCCTGTCTCTGCAGTGAAGCATTTGAATATGGCACGCAATCTCACGTGGCCCTCCTGAGGCTGGTGCTGTTGTAGTTGCCATTGTACCATGGGTAAACTGAGGCACAGAGTTATATAACTTGTCCAAAGTACACAGGCAGGCAGCCTGGCTCTGGAGTACCCGGTTCTTAATTAGTAGCTCCCTCCCCACCTTGCCCCTAGTTCCCAAAAATCTCCTCCCTGCCCCTATCTCCCCTGTAATAGGCCTGTCTCAGCCTGGGAGGATGCCCTCTCTGTCCCCTTCTGTCCCACCCAGCAAAACATGAGCACAAAACTGCCTCCACAGAGGCCTGCCCAAGGTGGATCATCAAGGTCTCTGTTCCCGGAGCTGGGACTGGACACGGTGTCTGTCTCCCTCTGCTGGTCTCTTAGGGGACAGCCCAGCCAGGACGCTTTCCCTGAAGCTGGTGGCGCCTTTTCTCTCCCAAACAGTGGATTCTGAGTGTTGGAGAGGTTGAGGAAAGGCCAGGGACACAGGCCAGGCTCTAACTTACGGGACTCCACATTGCCTCTTGGGGTCCGTGTTGCCAGAAGCCTGCCTCCAACAGGAGTGCAAAGGGGGGTGCTAGGGAGACCAAGCCACCTTCCTGATGCCTGCCCTGGGGGACAGGCCTCAAACAGCCTCCTTCCCCTTCTAACCCATGAATGGAGCCATCATCCATGGATGTATCTAAATCTTTTGTGAAGCTGTTTCTATTTCCAGCTGAGATGACATCTTGGGGTAATGAGTTCCATCAGTGTCCTCCCCTGCTGGGTGAAGCACACTGCCTTTGATTTGTCCTAAACTTACCTCACTTGAGCTCCAAGGGGGCCTGTAATTCCAGTGTGCCAGGTTTTGGTGAACACGTCTGAACTTCTCCCTTCCCATCCTCACTGTGGGTTTAAAAAAATTCATCCCATCTCCCCTCCACCTCCAGCCCTGCAGACTCAGAAGACCTGGTCCCTCATCTGTGCACAGTGCCTGGCAGTGTGGGCACATCCATTATCTCATGCCAGGCTCTAGCAGCTTGGGAGGAAGGCATGGGCTCATATTCTCCTCTCGAGGCAGAGGCGCTGGAGGGCCCAGAATCATGGGGCCAGCACTTGGTGCTGCTGGAGGCAGCAGCAGCACCAGCAGCCTCTCTCCGGAGCCTCTTCCCAATGGGGCTGACTCTTCTGATGATAACCAAGAGTCTTTTTTTTTTTTTTTAGATGGAATCTTGCCCTGTTGCCCAGGCTGGGGAGTGCAGTGGTGAGATCTCTGCTCACTGCAGTCTCCATCTCCCGGGTTAAAGTGATTCTCCTGCTTCAGCCTCCTGAGTAGCTGGAATTACAGGTGTGTGCCACCACGCCCGGCTAATTTTTGTATTTTTTTCAGTAGAGACAGGGTTTTGCCATGTTGGCCAGGCTGTTCTTCAACTCCTGACCTCAAGCGATCCACCTACCTTGGCCTCCCAATGTGCTGGGATTACAGGTGTGAGCCACCATGCCCAGCCAAGAGTCTTCTGAGTATTTTCCAGTTTCTGGACACCAGGCCTTTTCTCTGTAAGATTTCCTTGGGAGACTTTCCTCCTGGGTTCCTTGTGTAGATTCACCCTGGCTTTGTCCAAGCTGATGGTTTGTTTTGTCTCCAGTCCTGGCCCAAGGATACTGTGAGGATGACCCGAGCTGGAGGGGCAGGATGTAGCAATCCTAGTCACAGCAGTGCTCACAGCAGATTCTAAGAGCTGCATAAACATTAAGTTACTCCTCACAACAGCCCTTTGAGGTGGAAGCAGGCTTGGAGAACATAAGCAACTTGTCCATGTTTGTACAACTTGTTTTTAAGTGATAGAGATTGCGGCTAGGCTGGATTCAGACCTACTCAGGCTGGCATCCACAACTGCATTCTCAGCCTCAACAGTCAATCATGGGTTCAAGTCCTGAAACCTCTCTGAATTCCGTAATCTTCAGCCATTCAGAACAGACTTATTACACCACTGCTGTGTGCCAAACATCATTCTGATTTCCAGGAGAAATGCCAGGGAACAAGAAAGGCAGGGGCAGAGCTTGACTGGGGGGCTGGCAGCACTTGGAATGCCACAAACTCATTACAAGCAGGGCAGGTGCCCTGCCAGCTCAGTGTCCCCACAGCTCAGAGCTGCCTTGCCTGCCTGGTTACCCCCCAGTAACCATACAAATGCCAGTCCCTGTGTGTGCATGATGAGATGAAGACAAGCCCGAGTAAACTCCCAAACCCAAAATTCCTCTGCCCCTTCTGACTTTTAGTTACCCCGATCTGGCAAAATGCCAGCCATGAGTAATCCCGTCTGTGCTCCTGTGTCTGTAAGGAGGGCTGCATGGGGCATCCCATGGTGGGATGGAGCAGTGCCTGGTAAATGAGCCCCACCAATGGCTCCTCAGTAACTGTGCTTTCCTGGCCAACCCATGCTCTAACCTCACCCCTCTCAGACTGTTTCTTCCTCCAGGAAGCTCTCCCTCATGCCCTGACCAGGTCTTCCCAGGGACATATTCACATAGCCCACGTCATCATCATTCCTGATCCTTCTCAAAGGTGTAATTTCATTTTTACTTTGATGATTCTTTGGCTAATCTCAGTCTTCTCCCACTAGACCCCAGTCCTCCCCAGCTCAGGAGACTGGACTCTGCAGAAGGTGCAGCTCCTCCAGCCACCCACACTTCTGTTCAGAGCCTTGGCACTGACCCTTCCCTCTACCACAGCGCTCCTTCCCGGACGTCTGCACTGTTCACTTCCTTGCCTCCTGCAGGTCTTTGTTCAAATGGCGACTTCTCAGTGAGGCCAACCTGTCCATGCTAGTTAGAATCGAAGCCCTTCTCCCCCGACACTCCTCTCTCCCTCTCTGGGTTTTCTTTTTTTCCATAACACCCACCACCTTCTTGCATACTATAGGGTTTTACTCTGTGCCCAGGCTGGAGTGCAGTGGTACGATCGCAGCTCACTGCAACCTCTGCCTCCCAGGTTCAAGGGATCCTCCCACCTCAGCCTCCTGAATAGCTGGGATTGCAGGCATATGCCACCATGCCTGGCTAATTTTTATATTTTTGGTAGAAACCTTGTTGCCTAGGCTGGTCTTGAATTCCTGGACTCAAGCGATCTGCCCACACTGGTGTCTTAAAAGTGCTGGGATTATAAGTGTGAGCCACCGCATCTGGCCAGCATTTTTGTCCTGTACTCTCTTTCCTATAGTTAAAAAAGTGCATCCAGGATGTGTTGAATGAATATATGTTGAGTGAATGAATGAGCACCAGGGTCTCAAGCTTCTATTCCATATCAGCCCCCACACATTCGCACACACTTACATGCCCACCTGCTTATAGGAGGCCACCTCTAATGGGGTATGCCAAAGACCAAAAATTTCGTGTTTTTAAAAATTATTTTATTTTCTTCATTATAGTGACAGGGTCTCACTACATTGCCCAGGCTCATCTCTAACTCCTGGGTTCAAGCAATCCTCCCTCCTCGGCCTCCCAAAATGCTGAGATTACAGGTATGAGCCAGCATGCCCAACTAAAAATCTGGGGTTTGAAAGAATTCTGACTAAAAAATTAGCTGGGCATGGTGGCATACACCTGTAGTCCCAGCTACTCGGGAGGCTGAGGTAGGAGGATCACTGAGCCCAGGAGGTTGAGGCTGCAGGGCTGCAGTGAGCCAGGATCATGCCACTGCACTCCACCCCGGGTGACAGAATAAGGCCCTGTCGCAAAAAAAAAAAAAAAGAAAGGAAGGGAGGAAGGAAGGAAGGAAGGAAGGAAGGAAGGAAGGAAGGAAGGAAGGAAGGAAGGAAGGAAGGAAGGAAGGAAGGAAGGAAGGGAGAAAGCTCCTGAGAGAGCATCTCATTGAATGGCCCTCATTTTATTCAGGAAAAAACTGAGGCTCAGACAAGGGCCTGATGCCATCTGAGTGGGGCTGAAGCTGCATCCAGGTCCCTCACTTTGAGCACAGACCCCAGGTCCTCATACCTATCTCTCACCCACACACAGGGTTCCTGGTTCCTGGTTGCTCCCAGCTCCTTATCCCGCTGTGTGCCCCCTCTTCTGCACCTGAAGTGGGTTACTGGATATGCCAAATGCAGGCCTGGAAGGGATTCCTGGCCTCAGACTGGAAAGCTACCTTCCAGGGGCCAGAGGGTCGGGGGAGGTGCAACAGCCAATTATAGCTTCTCCCCCAAGCTGGGATGGATGAGAGGCATAGGGGAGTCACGGGGCCCCTTCAGGATCACAGCATGTCAAGGTTGGAAGGGACCTCAGTGAGTACCTCCTACTCTCCCCAGCCCCCACCAACACATCATACAGATGAGGAAGCAGCCGAGACAGGGAGGGATTTGCACAAATCACACAGCGGGACAGGGACACATCCTACCACGGCTCCCGGCTTCCCACTCTAGCCTTCTTTCTCTTCTAAGCCTTTCAGAAAGTTCCGAGTTCTGACTTTTGGCAAGGGAGTGGGAGGGTAACTGAAAAATGCTCAATATGAGTCGAAAGACTGTATGTCGACCGGGGGCAGTGGCTCACACCGGCCCCTGGCTGATATAAAGGGCCGACATGGTTCCTGCCCTTGTGAGGCGGACACACCAGTGGAGAAGACAGATGTGAAACGTATGAAAAAAAGCATATGTCTCCCTTCTCTTCTGCCTAGGGTCCTCAAGGCCATAGGACTCCATAACTCTATAGGTGTCAGGGGCAGAAACAGGACTATGTGAAGATTCATAGCCTCCCATTTCCTTGCCTTCAGGGAGCTTCAGCATCTACCCTTGTTCCAGGCGGCTGCTCAGGTAATGAGTACGAGGCAGAGGTGGGAAGGCTGTGCTGGTTTACACGTGGTGGGGGAGGGGTCCAGAGCGCAGGATGAGGCTGAGAACATGGGGACAACTATCAAGCAGGGAGAGATGGGACTGTGGGTGGAGTGCTAGAAGTTGAGTGTTTCTTTCAGCACTGTGCTAAGAGTGACTTAGAGACAGCTCAGCTGCACTTGGCTCATGCTAATTTATTTGTTTGTTTGTTTATTTTTCCATGCCCTTTGTCAACAGGAACGGTTTATAGATATTCACTCATTCATTTTTTGAGACACAGCCTCACTCTGTGGCCCAGGCTGGAGTGCAGTGGTGTGATCTTGGCTCACTGCAAACTCCACCTCCTGGGTTCTAGCGATTCTCCTGCCTCAGCCTCCTGAGTAGCTGGGACTACAGGCACGTGCCACCATGCCTGGCTAATTTTTGTGTTATTAGTAGAGATGGGGTTTCACCATGTCAGCCAAGCTGGTCTTGAACTCCTGGTCTCAGGTGATCTACCTGCCCCGGCCTTCCAAAGTGCTGGGATTACAGGCATGAGCCATCGCACTTGGCCTTTTTTTTTTTTTTTTTTTTTTGAGAAAGGGTCTGGCTCTCTTACCCAGGCTGCAGTGCAGTGGCGCTATCTTGGCTCACTGCAACCTCTACCTCCTGGGCTCAAGTGATCCACCCGCCTCCGCCTCCCAAAGTGCTGGGATTAAAGGTATGTGCCGCTGCACCCAGCTGGTTTACACATTTTAAAATGTAACATCTATTTATTCATTTACTGAGTGCCAGACCCTGTGTGAGGTACATACAGCAACAAACAAAACAGATATGGATGCTGGGCACGGTGGCTCACGCCTGTAATCCCAGCACTTTGGGAGGCTAAAGAAGAAGGACTGCCTGAGCCCAGGAGTTCAAGACCAGCCTGGGCAACACGGAGAATCCCCATCTCTATTAAAAATACAAAATGAGCCAGGCGTGATGGCGCATGCCTGTAATCCCAGCACTTTGGGAGGCTAAAGAAGGAGGACTGCCTGAGCCCAGGAGTTCAAGACCAGACTGGGCAATATAGCGAAACCACATCTGTACAAAAATAAAAATAAAATGTAGCCCGGCGCAATGGCTCACTCCTGTAATCCCAGCACTTTGGGAGGCTAAAGAAGAAGGACTGCCTGAGCCCAGGAGTTCAAGACCAGCCTGGGCAACAGAAGGCTCCTGAGAGAGCATCTCATTGAATGGCCCTCATTTTATTCAGGAAAAAACTGAGGCTCAGACAAGGGCCTGATGCCATCTGAGTGGGGCTGAA